AGTTGCTTGGGAGGGAAAACAAGAGCTCTTGCCAGCAGGGTAGTATTGTATAAATATGATGTATAAAAATTATCTGAGAAGCAGATTTATAAGTCAAGATGTTGCCTATGTTTGGGACCGTGATGGTTTTATTAAAATTACCAAGCAGATTGAAGAGCCTCCAGAATTTGCTTTAGAATATTTACAGCTGACGTGGGTAAGATATCAGGTGCATGAAATAACCTGAGCAGAAAGAGCAACCAGTGTTTTCTTAACTAGGTGCTTGGACACTGAACAATGAGACATGTTAACTTTTTAGGATATAGGGTTTTTTGTTTTTACACTGAGTTGTAATGCTTATGAAGACTAATTGGTTTTGCTTTTGGTATGTTAATGTATCTCTATAAAGTTAAATATAGGTAGTAATAAAATCTTTAATGATATTATGAGATAATAACATTGAAAATATGTTGAAGCTATAGAATATGGTATTGTGAGCCTGTTACAGAGTTGCACCTAATAGATAATTTTCTAATGAATATGTAAACTAATTGGCATTTTAAACTGTTAAAGAATGAGCCTTTGGTACAGCTTCTTTCAAATGACATTTCAGTGTCTATTTTTCATATTGTTTCTGTTATTCTGAGGCTGAGTGTGGGAACTTGTTTGCATGCTTTGCTGAAGTTTTGTGGATTTTTAACAATAAGGGTGTTAACCTGTTTCATTTGTTTTGTAAAAATAAAATTTGTCCTCAAGAGCGGTGACTGTTTAGCAGAACTAACCTAATACATAAACTAGAGAAGTGATCACCTCTACAAACCAGTTTCAGTGACCATCATTACTTCTGTGTTATCAGTTTTGTAGTGATCATACAAAACCAATAAGTAACTGACAGGTTTCTCTGCAGATGTGTCATTTGAGTACTACAATCCTTATGTCACAAAAATAAGAGAGATGTGCAAAGTCTATGAAACTTTAACGTGAATGGAGAAGAAAATAGCCAGCAGAGATGATGACAGCATAGTGGTTGAGTAATAGACAAGCTAGATGGTTTTATCCCTTGCTCTTTAAAACAAAATAGCATCAGAATCTCTGAGGAAATTACATTAAAGTGGAAGAGGAACCAGCAATAGATACGGTCTGATGCAAGAAGCAGCAAAGAAATGAAAGAGACTTGTATTGGAGCTGAACAATAGAGGAGATAGTAATGTTTACTGATGACTAAAAAAAGGTAGAGAAGAAATGAGGTAAAAAAGGTGTTATCTCAGAAATGATACATGATTTTGGGTGGTGAGATCTGTGAATATTAGTATAGAGTCAGCATAGCTGGCATCCTCTGAGAAGAGGGTTACAAATATTTTAACGAAGAGAAGGAAGTAAGACAAAGGACATCAACATAAGTAATTTCTATAGATAATGCATTTCATAAGTTTAAGGCCAAGGCATAATACTTGTTTCTGGTAAGATGACACTGAAGATCATCTCATCTTTTTACCTAAATATCAAAAGCAATTTTTCTTTTTTCAGAAAATTACATTCTTTAAAAATAATGCTCAGTGCGCACAGACAAGTATTGTATACCTTGTTGCTTGTTTGTCTGTTTCTTCATGAGTCATCCAAGAGGTTTGCTTTTCACAAAGGAAGTGTTTTGAGTATCTGAATTAAAAACCTGAACTTCAGCTATTGCAGAGGAACCTAGAGATATGGGGACAACGTGGCCTACTGTGTTGTGAAAACTGTTAAGTCATTGGTGCTTTTGTTTTTTTGTCTTTTTCTAATGCTTGAGGCCTATTCTCTGCCTTCCTTTCCAGAAGGAAACTGTCCTAATCACTTGGACCAACCTTCCTTTGTAGAGAATTCCGCTCCCTCCTGTTCCAGCACATGTTCACTGTCTTTCTAGAGACCTTCACTGTTTATCATCTGTTGCAGAGATGATGGGGATGGAGCACTGGGTACCTGCTGCCCACTGCCTTTCCAGGGCTATCGGCTGGTAGGTGGTGACAACAACCAGCACACTGGGACTAAATGGCTAGGAAAGCCTGAGGAATATTCAGCCTACCTCTGCTAAGGCCAATGTTTACACAGTTTCCTGAAGCTGCCACTCCACTCTTGCTTAAAGGTACAGAGTGTGATACACCATCATCTAAATACACACCCTCAGGCTGTGCCCCTAAGCAAACACAGATGCGGATGACTTCAATGCTGTTCTTGAGGTTCATAATGGGATGGCCTGTTTCTGTTTAAAATATTTCAGATGTTTTCACACCAATTCTTTCTCTAGAAACAAGATACTTATGCTTCTAATGCCTGTAGGTTTGTTTCCAGGCTCACTGACTCCCATCCTATGACTGTTTCCTTCCCCCATCTCAAAGCCTAGAGGTTCTGGGCCTGGATTCCAGTGTTATCGCCTTGGTTCCTTCTGCCTCCTGTTTTCTGGAAATGGAGCTGATGTGTCCCTGTGCTCGCTCACTCTTGCTCCTTTTCTGAGTCCCAAAGGCAGCATACCTCATCTGCAAAACAGCAAATTCTAGACATGTGTAAAGTTTCATTTCTTTAGACACATTCAAATACACACACAACTTGTGTAAACTTAGAGGAGCAAAATGATTGAGACTAAGCTCTTACTATGGTTAGGAAGGAGATGGATATTTAAGACATATTTTGTTCCTCCAAAGTTACACAGGATGCTTGGTTTTGTCCTAGGAGTAGAAGAGTGTGGTACTCTTGTTTTGCTATTCTTACCCCTTGCTCCAGATGCATGGAAACTACATCCTGAGCTCTCTGGTTTCCCCTTTTTTCATTTCTGTGTTTTCAAGCTTCCTCCTCACACTGTCTGGAACCTTATCTGAGTACAAATGCCTGCCTCCGGGGCTGCTTTTTTTTTCCTCTGTTTTGTTTTCTTATGGAAATGACTGGGACACAAAATCTACTGTTGCAATCCACAAACAAGAAAAAGGCAGTCAGACAGACATTTGCCCAAAGGCAGGAGGATCCACTGTCAGAACCAAACTGCTCTGGCAAATCTGGATCTGACCCTCTGCGGAAGAGGAAGTCTGCATCTCATGTCATATGAGGCTACAAAGCCCACCCTTCCCCTCTTCTGTCACAGCCAAAGGGGGAAAGTTTGTTTCGTCACTGTCTCTTGCACCTAAACTGAATGGCTGCAAAATGGCATGCAACATCGTTCTCTGCTCCTGTAGCTGCAGAAATACTATTCATGTGCTTATTATTCCATCACTTAAAGCAGGCCACCTTCAACTCGAAAATCTGTTCCCTGCAGCTCTGTGAAGGACCTGGATATTTTTAGGTGTAGTAGACCATAATGACCATAACTGTCACAGTTCGTAGCAACCCTTCCCCATGGGGCCCTTACATTCCAGGTGACAACTTCCTCTGGTGTGAAAATGCTACTACGTATTTCATGGTCACTGACTAATGGTGCCCCATCCTTCCCCATAAATTTTTCATCTGTCTCAGTTTGAAGCTGAACTTCCTTAGACAAAAAAAAAAAAAAAAACAAAAAAACCCACCTGCTACTCACAGACTTCTATAAAAGCTTCTTGTAGCTTGTTAGGTACATATGCAATTTTAAAGGAATTGAAACACATCAGTTTGAGCATTCATAAGAGATGTTAGACGTGGTGTGGAGTTGTGTTCATCTTTCTCTGAGGAGGTACCCGTAGATATCCTCCACTTCTTAAAGTTGGACTCCTCAGCCCTTAGGTGAGTTCTTCAATAAAACCAGCTGACAGCTTGTGGCGTATCTAGCTGTAGAGACAGTGAGGCTAAGCACACCATTTGAAAATCAGCCCCGAATTCCAATCGTATTTTTAAAAACTACCATTCAGTGAGGTTTAATTAATTTAGTGTCACATTTTTTTATATATCTGTTTTATTTCCTGTGATGGCACTCTACTAACAAGTATTCTTTGCAGAAGTCAGTGTGTGACCAGTATCTAAGCACTCATACTTTTATCAGTCTTGTTTAAAAAAAAAAGTCAATAGTATTTCTTACTGATAAATCTGTGCAGTTGATATTTACTATATTGAAGACTTCAAGTTGCATTTATTAACTGAGCATTGTGTCAACTACACTCTTATTTTAAAAATATTTGGTGTTCAAGGTGACTGACAAAATTACTTCTGGCATGCTAAACCCTTTAAAAATGTTGCCTCATTGTCACTGGAGGTAAGGTCAGTTCTCCCTTACTTGCACTGCCCAGGCCAATTTTTCTGACTAAAATGACAAACACTTACAGTCTACTTGCAGCTTTGTCTGCTGAAACATTACTCCTTGAGCTTTTTAACCAAAACTGGCAACAATTCAGAAAGAATTTAACTTACTAGAGCCTTATTATTGTAGCTTTTTTTATTTTGTAGATCCCCATTTTCCTGCTTCCAGAAAGATTATGAACAGGAGTGTTGTCTTACCACAGTGCAGTAATACAGGATAGATCAATATTTGTTTATAAAGGAGAAAGAACTGGTCTTTGTTTTTGATAGGGCTGCAATAATGGAAGGGATTTGAAACCCCATGTCCAGTTGTGTTCTTCAGGTCCCAGCATTAGGACTCTGCTCTTCCTGCCTCTCCTCAGGGTAAGATCTCTGGAAGCTGGTGGTGGGCACAGAGCTGGATGGTGTCCAGGTGCAGGGCAGCGTATCCACTTGTCCAGCTCCAGAGAGAAGCCCTGGGAGCAGGAGGGTGAGTTGGTAACAGTGACACCTCTGAGAGGGGGAGCAGGCTCTGGTACAGGCAGGACGTAGCAGCTGGGTGCAGGTGAATGTGGTGTGTGCTCCAGTGACTTCACCCTCTGGGTGACCAGCAGGGAAGGCGCATATGGGGAGGGGGAAGAGCCCCAGGGGTTGGGAAGCTGGTGGCCACTGCTCTGAGAAGGAAGTGAAAGAGCCAGGGTGGTTGGTAACTTCCTTTGGAGTGGGAGGCTGACAGATCTGCAGGCAGGAGTCGAAGGGCACAAGTGTTGCCTGGAAAGGGTCTGAATGTCAGAGGCTATGGAGAAAAATTGCTGAGACTCCTCCAGCACTGTCCTATATTTCTTACTTGTATGGAATCAACCTGGGAGGTGTGCAGGGGCTCAGCAGGGATAAAAGGCAGGGGGGTCCCTTCAGGCCTTCCTGGCCAGTAGCCAAAAACTGGCTCTTTCCTGAAGTCCTGCAGGAGGTGCAGCCAAAGGTGCAAGTTCATTCTAGGGACAGGTAGGTGCTGGAGGTGACTTGTCAGGGGTTATTGCAAATTTAGCTCCTTTCATGGCTTGTTTGGATTTGTTCTTTTTTTTTTTTTTTCTTTCTTCCCTGTGAGCTGGACCTCAAGTCTGGAAACAAAGAAGGTCATCTCTTCTCAGGACAGTTCTCATTGTGTACCTCACCAGTGCAGAGGATATCTGCTCAGCCTTATGCAACTTTAAAAAAAAAAAAAAAAAAAAAAAAATTAAAAAAGCTAACAAAATACTTTCTCTCTGCAGCCAAAATGACATCTCCCCCCCGGACCCAGCGATGCAATTCTGCATCAGAGCACGGCCCCAGTGGAGCCAGCAGCAGCCATTCCCACGGGTAGTCCCCCGGGTGCACCCCACCCCCCCGGCCGTGCGGGACCCTCCGACCCGGCGAAGGAGCCCCAAGGCGCTGGTAACGGGGCAAATCTGAAGTGATGTGTACTTTAAGGAAGGCAGGAGGTCAGCCTGCAAGTTAGATGGATTGAGTCATGTAGAGTTAAACTAACCCCTCCCACAGCCATGGACCACTGAAGCGCCCATTTTCATGAGCACCTCTCACTAAGGCAGCTCAGAGCCGGCAGAGGCTGAGAGGAAGAGAGAGGCGGGAGCGAGCACCGGCACTGATGGACGAGCCAAAGGGTAAGGACGGAAGCGAACCCCTGATCTCCAAAAGCAGCCCTGAGAGCCGGCGAGGGGGCGCGGGGGGGAGGCAGGGCTCGGCGGGGTGCCCCCGGGCTGGCGGCATCCCGCGGCAGGCGCTCGGGGGGAGGCTGTGCACATCCAGGAGGAGCTCCTTCAGATTTGCCAGTCAGGAGGGAGCTGCGGCTGCGGCATCCCCGTGTGGCGCGTCCCTCCCTCCGCGCCCGCGGAGCGCTGCCGGCGGTGGGCGAAGGCTCCGCGGCGGGGGGCTCGTCTGGGTGGGTGCAGCCTTGCCGCAGTCCTCCCCCGGCCGACATCATCTGCAAGCCTTTTGGGCTCCTGGCCGTTTCTCAAGGGACAATGTCAACTTGTGACCCGGGGTGCCCGGGAGAGGGGGGGCCGCGGCTGCCCGGGGGAAGCTGGCGATGGCCGCGGGCTGCCGTGTCCCCGGGCGGTGCGGCGGCGCGGGCGGGAGCGGAGGCTCCGCGCCGGCGTCTGGCAGAAGTTTGGCCGCGTCAGTGCGAGGGATTTCCCTCCCTCGCCGCGCAGGGCAAGAGCCGGCCGTGGCTCCCCGGCTGCCACTGCCCGCGGGGCCGGTGCCGAGCTCCCGCGGCGCCGGGAACCGCACTCAAAGCACGGAGAGGGAAAAAAAAAAAAATGGGGGAGACGGGGAGGGGGAGCAGAAACTCAAGGGCAGTATTGGCTGATAAGAAACGTCGGTGGAAAGCGATAGCTCTGAGGTTGGAAGAATTGCTGTGCTGAGTACGAGGGACTCTCGGTGCGTGGGCTCGGGGCCAGAACCGGCTCGGGAGAGCGCAGGGGCGAGGGGGATTCCCCGGCAAGCACTCTCCCTCTCCGGGGATCGGGGGGAGGGACTCGGTGGTAGCTGGAGGTGCTCATTGCACAGTTATTTTTCTCCGAGATGCATGTCTTGTAGCAGGGTTTGCCTTTTATAATCAGCTGGCGTGGTGCACGTAGCAGCACTAGTTGCACTCAACGTTTGGCAGAAACACTTCCTAGTTTAGCATCAGTTTTTGTCGATCTGGGTGTCCTACCCTCTGTTTACAGCAACTTCTGCAATACGGTCCCTCTTTCTACACTGCTGACAGTACTGAGCTCTGCGTGGGGCTTTTAAACACAAAGCAGGAACTCGGAAAAATGGGCAAGAGGCAGTAAACTGGAACAAGATCTGGGCAGAAACTTTGCATTTAAATTGAGTGAAAAGCTTAAGGATAACAGCTTCCACTATTTTGTTAGTTTCTTGTTCAGTACTAGGTGGAAGTCTCTCATTTGTCATTGTTATGACAACAAGGAATCAAAATGTGATTTTATTTTTTTCTGTTTGTTTTCTTAGAATAAATAAGATGATAAACTGGAGTTCTCTTAAGTTTTTAACTTCATAGAATGTAATGAATGGTGTTTGCAGGGGAAAAGCACTTTTAAAGCAAAGACTGGCAGAATGAGAAGGTTACCTCATTAGTTTATATAGTCATGAGTGAAGCTGGAAATATTTAGGAATAATTTGCCTCTGCTGAGGAGGGAGATAAGAATAGCTTTGCAATCAGTCTTTTAAAAGTTTCATTCCAAAAATGAAATGTAATGCATGAACGGAGATGCTTTTTCTAGTGAGGTGAGGAATCACAGGGAAGAAACTTAGATGATGAGAACTGATTTAGCAGAGGACCAAATGAGCCTTCTTTTAGAAAGTGGAATTTTAAAGAGACAGAAGGAAACTGAAGAAAACTGACAGTTAGTGCTCGAGATAATTGCAGAAGAGGCGGTGATGGTGTCAAAATGGGCCAACCTGCAGAACACGCAAGTCATCTTGCAAGAGCCTAATGAAAATTAGTGCAATAAATAGCAAGAACAGCACTTCATGTGTCGGGGAGAAGAAAACACGAGTCAGTGCTTTTGAAAACACCTCTTGCATTATGTCTTCCGGAGGCAGCAGTCAATAGGTTCAATGTGCAGGAGCCCAGGACAGGCTCTATCTTTCAGCTAGTAGGAAAGTTTCCACCTTGAAATGAGGCACGAATGCACACTGAGGACATGTCCTTTTATCAGAAAGGAATTACTAGGGAGTGTTTCAGTGAGAGACCTGTTTCCTGGGAGTCTTTTCCGCAGGGACTGTAACAAACAGGTTTGAAATGCTACGCTTCACTTTTAGGAAGCCTGTATTTTAAATACTGATACTGCCAGCTCTGCCTTGAAATTTGTATCAATGTGCTAACATGGCCAACGAAGAAATTCTGTTTGGGGTGCTACAGAGCAACAAATTATATCAGTGATCTGTATGAATACCTTAGTGGGCAGAAAGTGTGATAGTCTGAAAAATATATGGGGGGGAGGGAAGACACGACACGCTTCAGTCTGGGGAAAACATGATACTAATCTCATGCAGACAGGAGTAAAAAGCACCAAACCTTCTAAAATATATTGATTTTAACATAAAACATACTGAACTGAACAAGAGGTAGTAACTCTAGTTTGGAACTCTATATACATGATGAAGTAATCACTGCTGTCAAATGACGACTCTCTATGGACCAGCGATTGTTCCAGCATGGAATGGTAACAAAGCAAAATCTGATGAGGAAAAAAGTAAAGGAATTTGAATGAAGTTTGCAAATTTAAAGACTACGTACTGACCAGCATTCTAAAAACAATAATGAGGATGACTGGCTAGTTCATTCAGGCAGTGAAGGCAGCAAATAGAAGTTAACACAAGTAAATGGAAAGGAAGTGGAGAAAGAGGAAATGGAGAACATCTGATAGAAAATACAGGCTGTGAATTGTGGAAGATTATTTCGAGAAAGTAAAGATGTCAGGGGAAAATTGAAAGTTAGCATGACTGAGCACAATTCAAAAGAGGTGTTCTGTGTGTCTTAGGAACAAAATAATGTATATCTAGCAATTGCATAATCATTATGGAGGTGGAGAGGGTAAGATTTTAATGATGATGCAGAAAAAAACCCACAGAAGTGTTGGTTAAATCCTTTTCCAAATTTTGGGGAAAAAATAAATTCTGATATGAAGGACTATTTCATGGAGGTATTATAACTAAGTAGCCTGTTTTGTAAATTAACATTTTTGGGGGAAATAAAGTTTTATAAAAATTTGAAATTAAATGTGCCAAATACTTTCTGAGAAGATCTATGCTCTATCATGTTAATTTTCAACAAACTAGAGTAGAACATTAGGGATATCCCAGGCAATGGAAAGGTTGCTATGGTTGTTGTGGTTTAGGCCTGATTGGCAGCCAACCACAATGCAGCAGCTCTCTCTCCCTTCCCCTCTGGCAATGAGAAGGGGCAGAGAGCCAGGCTTGGGGTCCGAGATAGGACTGGGATGGGGAGAAAATTCCCCTTTTATGATCACGAGCAAAAGGCAGACTCGTTAGGGGAAGAAAAAAAGAACATACATTTATTACAGACACTAACAACACATAGCAGAGTAGGACAGTGAGAAGCATTGCCACATCTTGAGAACACCTTCCCCCCACCCCTCCCTTCTTCCCGGGCTCAGCTCTGCTCCCGATATCTCTACCTCCTCCCCCAGTGGCGCAGGGGCAGGGAATGGGGGGTGCAGTCAGTGCTGCCACTTCCTTTATCTTCAGTGAGGGGAGTGTCCGAAACTTGTTCCTCCTGCTCCATCGCGGTCCCCCTCTCACAGGAGACAGTCCTCCACAAACTTTCTCTGACTTGAATTCCTCCCGTTGGCCGCAGCGTTCCCCACACTGCTCCATCATGGGTCACTAACTTCCTCTGACTGGATTCCCTCCCACGGCTGCAGCCCTTCCCGAGCTGCTCTGGCGTGGGACTCCCCCGCATGCTGCAATCCCCCCAGCACTGAATTACAGCAGCGGGGCTACCTTTTCCTATGAGACCCCGGCCTTCTTCGGGCACACAACCTTGATCTTGCGAGCAGGAGCCACAGGCCATAAATCAATGTCTGCTCCACCGTAGATCTCCATGGGTGGCAGGCGGGGCCACCCTGCTGTCTCACCACAGGATACAGGGGGTCTCTGCTCCAGCACACCTCCCCCCCTCCTTTCTTCCTCCGTTCCTCCACTGACCTTGGTGTTCATGCAGCTGCAGCAACTCCTCCTCAAAAGTCTGACTGCCCGTCACCACGTCCCTTCTTAAATACGTTATCGCAGAGGCGCAGCTGATTGGCTCAATTTCCCAAACAGAGGTGGAGCTGACTTGGAGCTGGGGGAGCTTTGAGAAGCTTCTCACAGGGGGCCGCCCTGATAGCCCCCTCCCCTGCCACCAAAAAACTCCACCACTCACTCAACCCAGGACATTTGTTGACCCATATCCCAGTATTGTGATGGTGAGTAGCCTAGAGAACTAGTGTCAATTTAGTTTGACATCAGTTCTATCTAAATTACTGGGTAGATCTTCCCAAAAATTCAAGTTTTACTAGCCAGTTTGATAATATTCTTTTGGTTTGTAAAGGATAAGACTTATCAAAGTAGCTTTTAGAATGATGTTGTTGTAGAAATAGATAGCACTGTCAAAATGGATAACAGGAATGAATCCATCGAAAAGGAAATTACTCATCCCAGATGGAAGCAAGCCTGTGAGTTCACATAGTCCCCTTAAGTGAGCACATTAATCTGCATCTTAGAATAGAGATAGTCCCACCTGCAAGATTCTGCAGCAAGAATTTCAAGGAATATGTTCCTTTTGGTTTGGGAACTTGGCTAAAGAATGCATTTATAAGGGAGGGTGAGGAAAGTATTTCAAGTACTGATAGACATTTTCATTTGTCCTTGCTTTCTTGAGGGATTTTTCTGTTTACAGTCTAACTCAGTTGACTTTACAAAATAGATGTCAAACAAGTCTGGAATGATTCTCATTTGGAAAAAACAGGCTGCATTTTGTCTTATGCGTGCTAATAGTGATGACATCCTCTTCTTGGTTTATTTCTTCAAACGAGGCTGTAGGCTTATCGAAGTTCTAAGAAAAAAAAAAAAGTACTCTTAAAAAATGAGA